TAGGGTAGGGTAGGGTTAAAGTACACGGATTAGGAAATTTGTGGCGTTTCGGATACAACCGAGGAAATTTCCCGTTCGCAGGTCTCGCAGAACGTGTTTGGTGGACTCAAGTCTAGCTCCAGGTCTGTCACGCACCTGTATGGGCGTCCGTGCCCGATGCCGGTAAGCCGAGCTTGACCGGTCAGTTTTAGAGTATTCGGCCAATCAGCAGAGCTGGCCGTTGCCGAAGAACCATTGCGCTGCTCAAATGAGGAATAAACGCACGTGGGTTTGAGCTCCAGAATTGAAGAAAGCAGGATCCATACATAAATAGCGCATGTCACATTCTGTGACTCAGGGTGAGAATAGACGCCAGTGGGACCGCTGGGAAACTGAGGGCCCAGCTAACCCTACCCTACCCTACCCTACCCGCGCAACCGAACAGGCCCTAATGCATCAGGCCTGTTTCTCATGGTTACACATGGGCTGTTTGGACAGTATACATCCTCCCATTCAACAACGGTAGAAGATATGACAATTCTGACTTCACAGGTGTTCTCTATGGGTTACAATTCACCTATGTAATACCAACCCACTAAGCCACCCATTACATATTAGTTGAGATTTCGGAGTTCAGTAAAAAATCTGACTTTGAGAGAACCCCCAAAATGATAGTACATTTGGACCTGGTTGGTCCCGATCTGTATCACTCCGAGTCACCTCAACTATATGATGCAGATTCTGGTAAAGAGACTATTGAATGTCCCAAACTATACAGTAGTAACCTGTGCATAGGGTGAATCCTCCAACTGCTTCATCCCCTCATATAGATTGGAATTGTCTGGGAGCAGATTGCCAAGGACGCCGTGTGCGGTACCTAGTGAGTAACAATGGGGAGGCGCAACACCCTGTTCTGTCGTGAGTCGACTTGCAGAAAGTGGCTGAAAGGTGGTTGAATGCTCTTTTGCTATTCTGCTGATGTATTCAGGTGTTTTCTGGTACAAAAAGCTCCCGTATTGGTTTTGATACCCTGAATAGCCATGATAATCCATTTTAACAGAAAGCGGGACGCTGTAGCATACACGATGGGTCTCTCGAGTCAGCGCGGAGCGTGTCACACGCGTCGAAATGCATTCAGTGCTGCATCTCCCAGAACGCCTACCGCATCGAAGAGCCCCTTTTATACCTGACTCAATGAATCAAAGTCCCTCCGTATTCACAATAAAATGCAATACATGTTTCAGAAGTTGAGAAATGCTGATATGCATGAAAACAGACCAGGAAAAGGGCCTTCTAAGCTGAATTTTTCAAATGTCAGTCCTGCGTGCACCTGTAGGCCTAAATGTTGTCGGTCTAGATGTTCTACAAGTCCTAATACACAATGTTCCCGGCCCTGTGCAGGATCTGTGTTTGCGACCACATCTTCAGTGAGAACAAACAGAACCACATGACTCATCTTGTTATTGCTCATTGTAAATGTGCTTCCCCATTGACAGTAACAATGTCCGAATGAAGACAAAATCCCCTACAACTCTTATTGGGACATCTCGTATAGTGAATCCAAAAGGTGTGTCTCCACACAAAAGCAAAATATACTGCCCCAGTGAGGCTCGAACTCACGACCTTCCGATTCCGTCGCAATAACAGTCGGACGCTGTAACCAACTCAGCCATGGGGCATGCCCCATACCTACTTTGTAACCACTATAACGGCTCGCCATTAGTATAGTATGAACTGTCGTTCGCCGTCCAATCGTCGTCCCGGAGCCTCTAATCTCCCCATGGCGAAGGGACAGAAGCGTATACCCGAGCCTGCTAGAACGGCAGCACTACCGCCCGCGTTTCCCTCGTTGAAACCGAAAAGGGATCTTGAATGTAGGGTCCTTGTAGAGGATCAAATTCTTCTCATTGATGTTCGTGTCCTCAGCCGTCGACGGCCTGAAGTTGTCAATACCGCTGTAGTCGACGTTCTAACGAGCTTACAATACAGAACTTATTAACGGCCGAGGAATGTAAACGCTACATCTCGTTCGTCGAATCTTTGCCACTGGAGCTCACGCCCCCGAAGAAGAAAGGAGAGGCAGACAGAGTGAACCGTGGGTCGCGCCAGTGCACCGCCGACTAACGATAATATTGATGCGTCTTCATGCATGTGGCCAGACCGTCTATCTGTCACCTCGCAGACCTTTGCGCACGACTTGTTTAACATCCTTGGCCCGCACTTACCTCAGTTCCCCTATCCAAGTTTCCACCCTCTCGCTAGACAAGGTGGCACTCATGTGGTACATTCGCTAAACTCCAACATTCGACTGTACAAGTATACAGTCAATCAGCACTTCGGCCCTCACTATGATGATTCAGTCCGAGATCCCCATACGGGGGCGAGGTCGGAATGGACGCTATTGATCTACCTTTCCGGAGTAGAAGATGGTGTCGAAGGTGGCAAGGTAGGTCGTCGAATATAGCATATGTCGTCTAAGGACGTTCTGTTAACTGACACTCTATCATCCCATCAGACGCTGTTTTACAGGGAACATAAGGGGAGACCCACTGAAACCATTGTTCCTCCTCTTACACGAGGCACCGCACTGCTTCATCGGCGCGTATTTTTGCTCACCCAGTATACACGAGCGCATGCTAAGATATCGACATAGGCATGGTCAACAATGTATGCTACACGAGGGCTCTCCGGTGGGGAAGGGCACTAAATACGTCTTACGATCGGACCTCATGTTCTTGGACTGAAATATGAAGAGTTATCCGCGTGTGCATAGAACCTCTGAGGCAAGAGCTACAAATGGGTCCAATACCCGTTCAGCACTGCAGTGGGCAGTTATCACCGTCTACCTTTGTACTTTCTCTTCTGGTTCGGTAGATCCGCTTGTATGACGTCGTCATCTCTGTCCCTGTCATCCCTTCCTGCACTTTCGTCGCGTCGACGTTTCCGTGCGTGGCCCTTTCCCTGATTTTGTTCCTTTAGTTCATGTATAGCCAGACGGGCCGCTTCATCGACTCGTTCTCGTAACAACGCGACTTCTTCTTTGTCAGTAGGCCACAGCTCCATCTTCTTACCAATCACGCTCTCGATGCGCTGGATGAGCTCGACATCGTACTGTGTGACAAGAGTGATCGACTTCCCAGAACGGCCAGCGCGAGCCGTCCTTCCTACTCGATGAATGTAGTCTTTGGAATGTGTCGGGATGTCAAAGTTTATGACGATGTCAACGGATGGAATGTCCAAACCACTGCACATGCGTTGTCAAATATGGATATACGCGATAGTTGTATGCGGACTTACCGACTGGCGACATCAGTCGCAACAAGTATATTCCGACCGCCACTTTTGAATTTCCCCAGTGCACCAAGGCGGGCACTCTGGCTAAGTTGACCATGTAAGGGGACGGCGGGGAATCCCAGAGTTCGTAACATCATCGAAAGTCTGTTATGAGATTCGACTGATCAGCTTCCGGTTAGTTTCAATGCAGGTGAACACACCTCATCGTATTTTGCACCGTGCCCGTGAAGATCATGATGGAATTTTGTACAAGAGTATTAACCAGGTAGATCAGATGCACATCCTTTTGAGTTAAGGGGATGAAGAGGTAGTATTGTAAGAGTGTCGAAACAGTCGAATATCTGATCCATGATTCGGCTATCAGATCATACATCACGAAAAGGATAGAACTGACTTTGCTGAGACCTCGACGCGAACAGGATTAGACAAGCTAGCTCTCTGCAGCTTAGCCACTTTCGTGGTCATGGTTGCAGAATATAGATATGTGGTGCGCTCCTTTGGTATGAGCTTCAGAATCTTGTCGATTGCGGGACCGAAGTCCATGTCTAGCAGACGATCGGCTTCGTCCAGAACCTGAAAAATACGATTTAACGACTTGCGTCTTCCTTAATCCTTAGGAACACACCAAATATCGTAGGCCCCTCAAACTGAACCCCTTGGTATTCTCTAGATGATCCACTAGTCTTCCCGGGGTTGCTACGATGATATGGGGCTTCTTGGCTAGTGCGACAGCTTGCGACACCATCTCAGTGCCTCCAATGATCACCGCACAGCGGACGCCCATGGCCGAGCCCAACGCTTCAAATTGCTGCGATATTTGGTAGGCCAACTCACGAGTCGGGGCGAGGACGCACGCGAATAGTCCTTTAGGCTCCTCCCATAATTTCTGCAGTATCGGCAGAGCAAAGGCAGCAGTTTTTCCAGAACCCGTGGAGGCGACGCCTATTATATCTCGCCCCTCCAATGCATGAGGAAGCGCTTCGGCCTGGATGTCCGTCGGTGTCTTGAATTTGAGTTGCTCGAGAGCATCCAGGAGGGGATCTATCAGCCCAAGAGACTTGAAGGAGACAATAGGGGCGGAAGACGTGCTTGCTTCCTCTGGAGAAGGCATTGCGAGGGACAAAGACAAGGAATATAGAGGATGTATGATAGCCGCTCTGTAAGTCTTGAGCTTGAGGTGCAGACGCGAAAACTCGGTCTCATCTGAATCTCCCGGCACGTGATTCAGACTAGATCTGATTACCAGATTTTCTGAGTTTGCTCTGAGTACGATGCCATCACATACAACCGGTATATTACGACGGACACAGACCTACATGTATGTGAACACTATGTTATGACTCCGAATGGAATCCCATATCAAGAACGAAAGTACTTCGGCCACCCCTAGGCAGCACTAGTACTTTCTCCGCTCCGTGCATCTGATAGGTCTCTGCGCTCGGAAGAGCGAGCGACCCCATGGCATACTCCCCTGCCAACGGCAGCGGTGTTACAGCAACTTTGGGCAGTGGGAGCTCGCCATGATGCAGTGCGATAAGAGTAATAGGAATGGTGTAAGTCTCGCCATTCTGAAATTCCGTCAACCATAATCGCGTAAGATGGTGTTTGAACATACCTTGGCTATGAAATCACCTCGTTTCCGGCCACTGACCAGCCACTCTTTGATCAACTCTTCCACGTCAAATCGCATTTTGTACGTCTTATCTTTATCCTCTGACCTGCCTCCCCAGTGGAACGAAGTCGTGACCGTCAACTCAGCTGGGATAGGTTGACCAGCGTATAGCGGGAGCCGCTTATTCGTATCCGCCTCGAATGGATCTGAGAGGATACGGATTCTCGCAGCAGCGATGATCTTCACATCCGTGCATGAGTACTCGGACTAGCTGGCGACCTCTCCACTTACATTCATCCTTGGGACGTCCACGGGAATGCGTATCTCCCGCCACCCTTCGTTTGACAATTCCTTACACTGTTCATTGAGAGCCTGCACACTCATAGTCAGTATGGTACTATACAACTGGCCCAACCTCACTTTTTGAACCTCAAGATGTTCCAAGAACATCTCTTGCGGGAACTTGATTCCTTTTGGTAACCGCATAACGCCCGTGACAATGTAGTGCTCTATCCAAGATGCATCGCCTTCTAGGCTTGATAACAGAGAGTCAACGATTACCGGAGCATCACTTGTCCGGATCGCTGCACTACTGGACAAGCGGTCTACCGCTCGTGTTACCAACGCTTCGATCTCTGAGGAGAAGGCAGGTAAGTTCGGATTGGTTTAGTCATGTAGACGAGCCTACCATCCCGTAGCATATTATATTTGATTGATAGCCGGAGGGAGTCCCGCACTTCGTAGCTCATTAAAGAGGACGATCAGTATCAATAAATCCCGACCCACCTGGGCCATGCTTGGAGATTAAGCGGAACAGGAAGTTTCCAGGCTGGGCTGGTGTCACAGTCTTTCGCTCTGCTCAGTGGAAGTCCGGTCATCCAGGGCATAGATAGCCTACTATAATCTTATTTTGACCGGGATCACGACCTTCGACCTGCACGCCGTCAGGGTTACTGCCGACGACAGACAATTCTGCCTCTTTGATGCGCACAAATTGATGTGATGTTGTGGATACTGTGAACTGTGAAAATAGTCTGCTAACTCTGGTCACTACTGCAGGCCGTATTTTTGCACACTCCGCACGCACCTTGATCCGCGGAAAAAGTCTTGGACATTCACCGCTACAGGTAAGGAAGTCGCCACCACTCTGGCAGCGTGCAATACGCGAGTGACGTCAGGCTCAGATGAGGTGACATATTCAACCAGCATGTTGATCGTCTGCATTGCAATGGCATTAGTATCGCAATACGGAGGTGTGAGCCAAGTGCTTCACCAAAGCTTGGAATGGCTGTGCATCAGTGTAGGGCACGAGAAATGCGACGACACTGTCGCGTTCTACGCCTTTGATTGTGACGCGGTCCTCTTGAAATTCGACCGCCCTCTCCTCATTTCCAAGGAAAGTGGCGGATTTATGATTGAACTGCACGCCCGTTGGGCTCGACAACGTCAGCTGGGCGCTGGACAACGAATTGCGTCCCGATGACATGGAAACCAGGACTTGAGCTGAGCATCCAAGTTCGACTTAAAGACAGTCAGACGTCGCCTGAGAAATTTGAGAATAACTCACTAGAATCAGGTTGACGCGCTGAAACACTCAGAGCTCTAGGGTCCCTCGGGACGTGCACTAAAACAGGACTATCCTCCCGAACCCGTGGGTTCTGGCCCGCTGCATGATTCCTGCGGTGGAGCGATTGGAAAACTAGTTTGCGGACACGGATCTCTGTGCTGTCCAGGACATGAGTGCCATTAGTAGGCATCTAAGGAAGTCCTCGAGTCAGACGGCCGCTCTTCACATGAGGCAATACGACTTACGGCACAGAACAACTTTAGGGACGCGGTTCCTGGCTGCAATACATCCACCTTCGCCGTGTACCTAAGTTTCTCTGTATCTGGCCCAGCAAGCATCACGTTGACTTCGTCGACGAGAATATCCTAAACAACCATTTAGAATGTTGCGAAGGCGTAAGGCATGTCTCTTTGACTTACGCAAGGCAGATGATTGGTAACTGAGACATTCAAATATGAACCATCCTGAGTCTCAGCGATCTCAGCCTCCCGTGCATTGACCTGTACTGACAGTATGTCATAATCCGTGTGAAACAGGTCTATATAGATTTTTTTAACCTTCGAACGTAGTGCTTAGAGGGATTGCCTCACCAGTGACGAGTTCCCCAGTCGCATCATGCAAAGCTTGAAGGAGATTCTGGAGGTATTCCTTCTTGTTGTCCATCTGTATCAGCAAGTCGTCCTCCGTGCTATGCACGTAAGTCTTCAAAAAGGCCAGCAAGACATGGATCCACTCGGTATCCTTTGCTTTGTCAAGACGCGAATGTGCATTCATCGCTTCGAACAGAGCCAGGGCTTCGAGAGACGTCCATCCATGGGGAGCATAATGAGCAGGTAAAGAGGTGAATGTCTGCAGAGCAGCGGGAAGACGACTCCTGTGGCTACGCACCATTAAGCTTCAAGAACCAGAAGAAATTGCTACCCGACTTACACATCCAGCGCTGCCAAACTTCCATGCAGCTTCAAAGCAAACTTGCGCCTGCGGGCTTTGGCATACCGTTCGATCGCTCTATTTGTTACTCGTATATAAAGGTCGTAGAATGCTTCTTCGTCCTTGATAGAAGCTAGGAGTTCTGATTGTGATATGGAATACTCGCTCGGGTCTACAGGACGAGACAGGTGTTCTGGCGGCAGAAAAGAACTGGTAGAGAACGGCGGTTTCATCGGCAAATACCGCAGTTGAACGCCTATTGTATCGAGCTGATGTGACTCGGAAAGGAGTGTGGTCAAACGAAATATGACTCACCTGGTGACGGGCAAGTTCCAGGAGTTCGCCCTTGATAGCATCGAAAGTAGTCCCAGAATTCTCGTCAAGCTGTAACTCGGACGCCCATCTATCGCACTGGTCGACGACACTAAGAGCGGAAGAATATACCCAAGACTCTACGAATCCGGTGGGGATTGTCTCCTGGAAAAATAGGTCAGCGAAGATATATGCCAAGGATATAATCGTACCTTCGTGTCCAGAAGCCTCTTACCGAATGCACTTAGGAAGGCGGAGGATTTTCTCCCTATTTCGACGACTCTCCCCATCTTTCCGAGCAGATTACACTGACGAGCAAGCAAATATATCCTGAAGTCGAAGACAGAGATAGTGTTCGCGAGGATGAGGTCCCGATACGGCTTCTTCGTCGTAGACAATAGAGGCATAGAGTCATCATTAGGACTAGGAGAGATTAAAGTCCCGAACCACGAGAGATTCTTCTCCCGCAGCACTTGGTAGAAAGAAGCTTCAAGCTCGTCGTATTGAAGAAGGGCATCATCATATAAGCCGACTCCCTCGAAGGAGCTAGCCAGACTTTCCTGATTCGCATGTGAGTTCCCACATATCTTACAGTGAAGTAGAAACGCACCTTCAGAATAAAGAAGGTGCAGAAATTCCACCCAGGCATCTGTCTCTGGCTTTCCGAACGCCTGACCTCATCTTCCTTTTGCATCACAGTGGCATCAAACGCAGAAAGTAAACCGTCCTTTATTTTCGTGATGACATCCACCCAGACGGAGGGATTATCGAAATTTGGAGACCAAGCAATCTGCACGCATCTAAGATCTCGTCAAATTCAAGAATGGATGGGCCGAGTCGCTCTAATGTACCTATCTCTTTTATCAATATTGAAATCGGCCTTGATCTTGTCGAGCACCGATGCTTTCACCTGAAAAAAGCTCGGCGCCGGTGCCTTCATATCGGACCTGTCCATATACAATATCAACCATTCTTGGCTCTTGCGTTGTACTACAATCGAGTGCCAGTCTTTGATCTGCTTTCGGACTGAATTTTTGTATGCTTCGTGATCCTGGGGACGGGATTAAGAGGAAAATAGCTACTCCGAGGACTTACAACTTACCTCGCAGATGACTATATACAAGTTCAGCAGTGGCCTCTCCAGGATTGTCAGGGGTATTTGTGTCGTCTGCTCATCGCGAATACTATCCAGGGGAACCAACTTGACGTTTAGTTGCTGTATGGTCCTAATAGAGGGCCGCGATGTTGACTTCCAGTGAATGTTTTGCAGTGGCAGCTGAGCTAGAAGAGCAGCTTGAAACTGCTTCCATAGGTCTGAGGAGAGAAACGTAGGTGACGCAGCATAAGTTACAAGAACTGCGTCGGGCGACATGGGCACAGACGGATGCAGAGTTCAGCCAAGGCTGTAGGACGAAGCTAACCTCTTGAGAGACAGATCCGCCTGAGTGAATGATCGTACGCTGTAACTTATAAGTAGTACTATGTAGTAGATGAGCGCGTCCAGTCCGATCGCTTTCGCGCGCGTGGGGCATGCGGCTAGGGTTAGGGCCAGCGTGCCTAACGGGCAGAGGATAGCAATCGCCGTAGACAACACTGGTGATGCACAACCTACGTTATTGATACAGGACGGTAGGTAATCTATTGTGCTAGCGTCCGTCCTTGCCTTCCGAGTAGCCGAACCATATACCAACCACCAACGCAGCATTTCCCAAAGCTAGGAGACCGGACGATAGCGGTGTTGATGGGTAGACATTCCAGCAATATTCAATGGACATCAGTAAGCCAATCCTTGAAAGTTTGTTCAACCATTCGAGTTGGGCTATAGATGATATATGGGTTCTTACTTGAGTGCAATCGGGTATCTGGTTCTCCACGCCAGAAAGGGCAATTGTTGCGCGTACCATGCGTAGAACTGGTAATGCAAAGAGCGAGCAAAAAGAATGCCGATTAAGTTCGAGGTGAAGAGGATTGTGGCTACATCTGAAACAGCATAATGATCAGGAGCGAACCCTGCAAGAATAGTAACTCTTACGGTCAGCTGTGACAGGCGCTAAGTGGGCAGGGAGAGTCGGTCGACGGAGGCCCCTGCTCAAAATCGCCCATACGCCACCATCTCTTCGACACCACTTGACAAGACCAAAACCACACAAAACCGTGATGTGACCTAGTAAAAGCCCTCGCGCCCATCCTGGACTCAAGAATGTAGTTTCGTCGACAAAACGCCAGTTAACTGTCCATCTGTACAGAAATACTCGCGAAAACTCGAAAGCTCGAGTCGTATATGCCCATGAATTCTCCACGAGGAAAGGGGAAGCTATGAGAACCTGGGTTATCATGAGAAGCGCGACATGTCTCAGCGTCTGTAACAGTCCGTGGCGCTTGAACAAAATAACGAGAACACCCGGGAGGAAGAGGAGAGCCGACATCTTCACTGACAGGGCAGCACTGGATAAGATATAAGCATCATAGCAGTCCGTTACAATGATCTACATCGGGCGAACCTGAATAGGATGGTCCCGAGGTCATCACGACCTCTCTGATAAGCTAAGACAGCAGCCTCGACGGCCACCACAGACCAGCAATCGTTGAATAGGCGTAGAACGAAGATAGAGTGAAGCCTTTTGCTTAGAGGAAGCAGCAGCACGAGCCAGTTGGGCACACCTCTAGTCTGCCTATAGATGGAGCACATGATGATGAGGCTGAGAATGTATAGAAGGGCATAGATCTGTTGACTGAGCCCAACGTTCGACCCTTTGCCGGTGAGCAAATATAGGAATTCATGGACATAGACGTGGCCTGCTGGGTATCTTGGCAAGCATGACGAGGGGGGCCAAGAGCAGAGCAGCACACAAAACTCACACAAGCGGCCCCGTGGGTCCTTCTATAAGGCTGTAATCGCGTACTCCTTTGATATACAGCTCCACTTGGCTCATGTAAGTCCTCCAATCGATTTCTGTGTCTAGACGGCGCGGTCATGATTTGCTGGAGCTACTGCGAGTCATAACCCACATGGAATGTAGCGTATAATCAGTTGGGTAACGATCGCATCAACGAAGATAACTGGAGAGGCGAGCAACCATATGTAGGCGGGCTCAGTCAAGAGGAGCCTCAGGCAACACCACAGATATTTAGGCCATGGCGGGCTAGCACCGGGCGGGAATTTTGGAAGGAGTGGCATAATTGGCGGTATCTCAAGGGTATGTTGGGTGTCGTCTGATACTTAGCAATGGTGCGAAAGTAGTAGTATGAAGTGGTAGCCCAAAGATGATGCAGGCCAAGCTCTGCATAATACCCGCCACACCGGCGCGAGTCCGTCTAAAAATAGTTAATAGGAATTTCCGTCCATATTCGGAAGAATTGTCGCCTCCCCATCCTCTAGCCCTCTCATAAACCACTCCCTGTAACTCTCTTCCTCACCACTCACCACCTGAGTCGGAGCTAACGATGATAGACTATCCATAACATACTGGTCTACGAAGCCTAACCTAGACATACCGTATGAAGCGAATACCAGCGCTGTCTGAAAGCCATCAGAGTAACCCTTGTTGTGTCCGGACTGAGTGGAGTCGAGAGCGACTTGGTGCGTAGATAATCGCCGCCGAGAAGCGACAAGCAGTGCAGGCTCTCCGTCAAGGGTAGGCTGACGCGAGTCGGCAGGATAAGAAGGAAAGGTAGGAGGCAAATAGTTTCCGACAGCTGCCCTGAAGCACCATCCCGGGTCACTATCGCAATCTTCTTTCATGTAAGCTGGAGAGCAAAGACAATCCTTAGACACACCCGAAAAAGACGATCGATGGGAATCTCACCCCAAAAGCCCCACCCGGCAACTGCAGAAGAATATGCGATAGACTGGTCCGTGCAAAAGCGCTGTTGCGCGCCGCCTTTGTCCGACTCTTCGGCCAGGCTTTGAGGTGCTAGTGCACAGGACCATTCGTCCACGACAAGATTCCGATGCCCTGTCCGCGAAGCATAGTCTAAGTCGTTTAAGACCGTCGATCGTACGTCAGTAGCATGGTCAGACGCAGTTTCGTTCTCATCCGCAGATGTGTAGACAAAGTAGGAATGGTGATCCTGAACGACGAAGTCAGATCGATTTCCCACGTAGCGGCTGAACCGGGTCAGGTCGAAGCCATCGTGGATATACAGCGGGAGAGCTTCCGCCGCAGAGGACACATTGCGTATCCTGATGATAGCTTCGGTATCTGTTTTAGGTGTCTCAGCATGACGTGACAACATTCTGCAGGACACCTGCACCCACAGAAGTCCTCCAAGCTGTCCACATTTTTGGGTTCATTCAGGATTTGCACGCCGACCACGTTAGTGACCTCGCTCAGCTCGCCCGCTAAGAAGGTAAGGATTTGCATAGTCTTCTCCACGTTGGAAGGATCGGCGAAAAGGGTGGTCTGGCCGTCAGATATGCCCGAGTGTGGCTGCCCGTTCTGACTCCCAGGTGCGCCGTGCAAATCGACGAGTACTCCAAGACCAGCTTGATCTGCCATGATGATCGCGTGCTTTACCCTGCTCCACGAGTTTGCATAGACTTCAGCAACATCCGCAAAAGCAGTATCGCGACAATATGTCGGCCCAAGACTCCAGTATCCAATGGGGATGCGAACAGTATTGATACCTATACTAGCCAAGTAATAGAAGTCTTCCTGAGAGATGAAGGAGTCCCAATGTCTCTCCAGAACGGCCCGAGCCGCTGTGGTTGATCCCCAGCCTGAAGCAATGTCATGTTCGGACAACTGCTTGCCCGAAGAACACTTGAAAGTCGAGGGTGTCATCCACTGTTCATGCACGAACCTGATATGGGAGTGCTTTAGTACTGGAGAAGAGGTCAGTGAAAGCTGAAAACTGTGACAGACCAAGACCCCAGATTGACCGATTGTTGCTGCCTGTAACGATAGATAGTAGCTTTCACAGGATCAAATGGAGAGTAAGAGTCAATGAGGCTGGGGCCGGTATAATTCTGAACATAGCAGTCGCCGCTGTCGAGAACTTCTACGGATGCGGGAGAGTCATGAAGTGTCGCTGCGAAGGCGTTCAGGGAAGTTTGAGGAAGCGTCGTCGCCTGCGTCGAGAGACTTTGTTGAGGGGCATTTGGGTCCAGCGCACCCGGGGCAGGCTTTAGCAATCCCTGGGCCAATCCAAGCGATCGTAAAAGCGATGTAAACCCAATCTGGGAGAACACCATCGCCCACAAAGACGTGAGAGGATGAGAAAGCGTCAGCCACCCCGACGACCCACGAAAAGCGAGTTTCACTCGTCCGGAAGACCTGCTGGTCGTTTTGAAACACCCGTCGGCGGCTGACAGATTGAATATTCAGCAGCTGAACCTACTAGTCTAGATCCAAGGGACTGAGACTCCAAGACACAACGAAGTCGGTCATACACAGTGATAGGGTTCGAAAGACTCTTGTCTTACACCATCCATTTGACACTTCTTTGTGAGTAATGAGAAAAGACTCAAATATTCGGAGCATCGCAAGGGGATCTAGTAGGATATCAAGTATGTGGCACAATGACAGTGACGTGTGACAGAAGTTCAGCTGACATCGGTCATTGACTGACACTGTGGCAGTACTTGCACTGCGAGCAGCACTTTAGCAGGGGCACCTGTGTCCTGGGCATCTGCACTGTCTTACTACTTGGAACCGGACCTATATGTTTTCGCTCCATGTATAATGCGGTCCTGGAGGCAGCCGCTACCCCTGACCAACCCCGAATTCACCGTGCACGAATGGCCTGGCTACTGTGAATATAGAGTGGAAAACTGGCACCTTGCACGCGACGGAAGTGGTCGCGTCGTGGAAGGATACCGAGCGCTGTCCTGGAAAGATGCCGTATTTTCCGTAATAATCGCAGTTCTGTGGCCTCTAGTATGTGCACCGCTGAGCACAAGTCGAAGCAGCGATTGACGCCCATCAAAGTTTCGCGCCAGCTTGCGTGCACGTATAGTGTTGGTTATCGTCTTGGCTTTCATGCTCTGGTCAAGGTGTTCACAGGTTCTATGGGGTACGTACCTTTGATGTTAAGCGGCGGACGTTACATTTAGACCATTCAGCAGAATCAGTAATCTCGATACCGCCTCATGGAATTCAGCTAGAGACGCACAAAGGTTATCCTTCCATGCCCCTCTACGCTGTGCGGCGTTTCATCCCGTCAGGGTCGCTGAAAGACTTCATTATCAACGAGGGCCTTCAAAGATGGAACGTTCGTTACTATCTTTCCGCTATAAGACGGACATCTTGTGGCGCATTCACGATGGAGATAGCTTACAACGTAGGTGTTCATGGTAATATCAATCTGCTGTGTGTTTACAATATCGTAGGACACCCTACCCCACTTCCCAATTTTACTCGAGGTTTATCGCGGAATCCACGAGACGGAGCTATTTTCACAGGCGTAATATCAAATCTATACAATTTTGGATAGCAATGTGCACACACAATTCAACACAGGATGGCCTAACATAATAGTGAGTATGTTCGATGGGATGCAGAGTCCATGCATATGATGCAAATAAGTAATGGTCGTGGTGTCATTGACAATTGAAGAACTCAAGACATTCTAGGGGCCGTCTTCACTTTCGTATGCGCTCAGTAGATCATTATAGCCTTCGTCGTCACCTTCTTCCGCTGCGCTGTCGGTGGGACGATGATTATCAGAGGATGTTTTCCGAACTCTTCCTTCCGCTGAGATTTTACGCGTTCGGATCTCCCGCCCTTCGGTCGATGTTTTACGCGTCCGTCGAGGCGAACGGGGCCGGGGTGATACCGTCGATCCACCGTTAAAGTCAAAAGCGGTGGCCCTGGGAGTCGATGCTAAATCATAGTCTGTTGGCTCTGGTGCCAACGAGTTGGCACTATGATCCGATTGTTCAATTACTGTGTTCGGCTGTATATCGTCCTCAATGCGTAAGGCTGCTAGCCGCGCGGGAACACGTTTAGATCGCAGTCGAGAATTTTTGAAAGGGGTTGGAGCTGACGAATCCGATGCCTCGCTCGCATCCACATCAGCTAATGGGGGTGTCTTCCTCCTGGCAGCACTTCTACCTTGGAAAGGAGGCTCCAGCGTCGGTTCATGAGATGGGCTGAGAACCACTGACCCACGCTGCTGTTCAGGATTTTCGATCGTCACCCCGTTCATAAACAACGCGGATGAGGTTGGCGTCCGTGGAGGGGGTGAAGAAGGAAGAGTGGTAGGCGAGTCCGGAAGGTCTACCCTGCCCCAACCCTTTTCCGAAGAGCTGTCCGCCTGCCTTCGAGCAGTTGCGTAAGAGCTCGAGGGCCTCGAGGGTCCGTTATCTGAAGACGCAGTTGACGAAGTCGATACGGGTCGATTCTGGGCGAACCTGAAATTGGGTGCCATAGGAGACCTCGATCTGTGGAGGGGCACAATTCGACTGGTCCGGTTACCGGCGGCATCTGACTCATAGTCGCTGCGATCGCCGGGTCGGGACACTGACAATGTCGTGGAAACTGAGGATTGAGAGGCGCTTCGCGTTGGATGGCCCCTGGCCTGCATGACCTCCGACCACTGTTTAGTCTGTCTAGTTTGTGGTGTGGGCGTGCTCGAGACATTAACGACCTTCGACGTGCCGTTGGGTGCCGTTATTAATGACGATGAACTCAGAAGCAGGGGTCGCGGCCCAGTCCTTGGTGTCTGTTTTGGCGGAGGATGCTGCAAACCTGTCAGAGAGGCGAGGGATGCTTGAAGATGCTTTGTCTTTTCTAAGATACCCGTCTCTGACTGCGGAGAGATGTCTTCAGCATGTGAGGAGGACTCTGACATCTCTCTTCGGGGTTGGGGGAACATGCTGTCACGAGGCGGACGGAAGAAAGCGGGTCTAGGAGGAGGGGAGTAGAGATCGGTATGACCTGGCCGGAAGACATGCCCCCTGTTGGATGTGCCGCCGACCTGCTCGGAGACGGTAGACCCAAACGAGTCCCTGCGATCATCCGCGGAGTGTCCCCAAAGTCCGGATGACATAGCGGCAGGAGTTGAGGGGGTACTTGCTGTTCCTGGGGCGCTAGTGCGGTTCCATGCCTGCAAAGCCTTCACTTTCCAATTCGTGCTTACTTTTGCTAGCGTTGCTGCTGTATCAGAATCTTTGAGTTTCTCCGCATAGTCCCAGATACTGCTACGAGGTAGCGACGGCGAACGGCCATATGTTGTACTCGGAGTATCTGGAAGTGGCGACTGTGTACCTGAGCTCATTGGAGACGACGGTGGGATGGGCGACGGCGGTACTTCCATCGAGCTCTGGTTGGTGATTCCTTTCCAGACAGATGTAGCTAGCCTGGAGGTCAAAGCAGAGGACTGACTGGTCTCTGACTTTGGCGACGGGAGTGAAGCCGAACTTGGAGAGGGAGAACTTGGAGGCATAGGAGAAGACGGGACTTCCATAGAGCTTTGGTTCGTGATACCCTTCCACACCGTACTTGCCAAGCGCGAAGTCAAACCCGAGTTCCTCTGGGCCTGAACGGGTTCCGTTTCGTTACCGTCCTCATCAGAGGAATCGACGTCTTCATCTTCGTCCTCATCCTCTGTGTCTCCATCTTCCTCGGGTGATACATCGGTCACTTGGTTCGTGAAACCTCTCCAGATTGTGTCTCGAATTCGAGCGCCTAGAGTTGTGTTTACTGCCGTGGCCGGGTTCATTTGTTTTTCTCGACGACGGAGCAATTCTAGCGCAGTTTCCAGTACGCTGTCGATACCCCCCACAGCATCCACCGGATACGTCTGCAAAAGCGCCATGCCTTCCATGAAAGCGTCGCTCAGTTCCCAGGCACGCAGAGGCGATGGAGGTGGAAGTGTATCGTCTTCGGCCCAAAGGCTAGATGACTTATACTGTGGCTTTCCGAGCCTGAGTATCTCGTCAGACAGAACGCGAAAAGATGGCATTAACGACAGACCTAGTGAGAGGACCCTTGGCCCGAATTAACATGCCAGCGCATATATCAAGTAGATAATCCAGCTTCGGATTCGAAGTCTTGGTCGCCTGGGGTCGACTAAAGAGGGCATCCCACACAGCGAAGACAGCCGTGAGCGGGAGGGTGTGAGTGAGCAACGGAGCCAGCCAGCGGCTAAAGTCGACGATGAGATTTGTGCAGACACAACAATGACGACTGCGCTTACTATGAATAGTGAGGGAGAGCCGGGTCCAAACCCTTTGCCCTCTGGAAACACCATCAGCAGCTATACCTTGAAGCTAGGGATCACACGTACTAGGTTCGAAGCTAAATCATCATCTGCCCACGCAAGACGTTCACCGAGTCTCTGCATCCAAACTCCACCGCCCTCCTCGTCTTCTAACTCGGAAAACTCGCCGACCATGGCCTCGAAGACCCAGAACGTATCTGCCTCGATATGAGGCAAATCCTGCGAGTCAATTTCCCTGCTCAAGACGGTATAGAGGGGCAGCAGGAGCGACGCGATGTGTGGAGAGCGATTAGCTGGATTAAGGCGAGAATGGATATAAAGTAGACGAAGCAAGGCTGAGGCATGTCTTTCCGGTGCAGGTGCAGCGCTGAAAGCGTGCGAAGGGTGCAATGTCGTTGATACGCCAGGAGCTGTCTGATCAAGAAGAGTTCGCTGGGCAAGATGAGGCTCAGCGTCGTCATCACTTTCAAGACGAATCTCTGGCGTGAACTGCTCAGCAGGTCCACCATGTTCAGCCAACTGGATAGCTCGGAGTCGGGCGTTCAGATTCCCGGCACAGGAAATCCTAATATCTTCAGGAGCTGAATCGTCCAGCGGAGAAGGCTCGGGCTGTTCAGTATCTTCCTCCAGTGCTTCAAAAAGACCCCTCGGAACACGGTTCAATTCCCTGTACACATTCAACAGGCCGTCATCTAAAGGAGCTAGCGGCTTCGAAGGGGGAGGAAGGGTAGAGAACGGCTCCAGTAGTCGGCGCACGAGATCCTAACGCAGCGGGTTAATCAGACAAAGGATGTGATGGTAATGGAACGCACATAATAATCATTCCTATGTTTCTTAGCTTCAGTTCCCCAACTGGACCTCAATACCGGAAGGGTACCAAGGAGCAATCTAACGGATGGTTATGGAGCTATAGTTCGTCTTGAGGAAGAACGCATACCTCCATATCCTAGGTCTCAGCCACGGTGGATGATCAGGGATGCCTGCAAAAGCGAATCAGGAAAATAACGGGCAGTGGAAGGCAGATTTTTCTTGCTCGTACCATGTACACACAAGGACCTCAACCGAGGCATATCAACAACAGGTGTCGGCGAAGACGGGTCTAGAAGCTCAGAGAGCGCATCCACTCTAATGAAGTCAGGGCCTTGTGATGTACTGGACATACGGGATCAGAGTTCCAACCTTTGTTCTGGCATCAATTCCGGGGTCCACTTGACACCTGTCGCTTTCGCAATGCTGCTGAGAAACTCGTCCAAATCTGCTATAGAAGGGTTGGGTATGTTGAGAGCTTGTACGACCTGTCCTCGGTGAGAAAATGTCAGCCCGCTCTACCAAGATGCACCCACCTTCTCAGACACGTAGCTGTCGCGATTTGTGACGGCTGAGCGCGCAAAGTCGGGGCCCAGTGCCTCAGCAAGAATATCCCTCACGACATGGAGTTCTGCGACGCTGAGGCGTCGGAATTGAGGCGGTGTTAAGAAAGATAACGGTGACTGACCCTTAGAATCAAGGTGGGGGGCCGCGAATATGATAGTTGATGCAGCTTCCACCATGACTGGACTTGGGGGTGTACTGTTACAGGTCGTATGGTCACACGTCGCATCGGTTCGACACGATTCCTTCCACGTACCTACGCTCTAACTCATGAAAGTGGTCTAGCACAACGCCCAGATGCATTCCCAACACTTCTAACACATCTCCCAGTGCATCTTCTTTGATGAGCTTTGCTGCCTTGGCCCGAGCAAGGGATACATTTCCGTCCCGTAACAAAGTAGCGATGTCTCCGCGAGTAATTTGGCCTTCAGAGTCCTTCTTTGCCTGTAGCTGCCCTAAACGTTGTGAGGTCAGGCGCAGCTGTGCCTAAGCAGACGCTTCAATACGTGCGCGACCCTGCACGGAATGTCTGCGCACCTTGACGCGAGCAGCGTCCATGCCGTGGACACTTCAAGCCCGACTTTAGGGGGTGAACGTGACGGGGAACGTACAGTCGCCAGTCCTTTGAGGCCTGGTGACTTCCGATTGGGTAAGGAGGCAATTAGTGTTAGTGTAGGATGCCAGTCACCGCAAACACCGCGCACGGGAGCCACAATCTTAAGCTTAACGTGCCACGTGCACTGCATTAGTGAATTCACAATTCCCCGACTCACGTCACCGGGTACTAGGCCGTTGTCTGTCTCTACCGACATTGTACACGGCCAGCCCAGAATCTGGTGAAAAAATCCAAGGGGCGTTCGTGCAAATGTCGGTAGTATAATTCTCAGTACTTTTGCGTAACAGTCGCACTCATTTTGCGTGCGTGCCATTTGTGCAACCGTTGCAATACAGGTTGCAAAGGATTTGCGTCGTGGATTCCATTGCGTAATATTCTGACTTGGACTTATCGGCACGGGGGCGTGCCGGTGGTCTCGTGACACGTCGCGTTGCTCCTTCATCATGCCGAGGTGCCGGAGTTCAATCTCCGCTCGTAACGGTTGGAGTTGGACTCAGTGATGGGCCGGTTAAGGCTGAACCCCTTGCCTCCTGGACCGGGTTTGACCAGTTTCCCACGTTAAACCCAGGTTTGACGAAAGTTAAGGAGTTAATGCGTGACCCGCACATGACTTGTACCTGCCATATGAGGCCGTAATGATATCATAGATAGTCACGTGCATTGCGCGCCCGGAAGCTGAGACCGGGCAAGCGCGTCTCGTTGAAGTTGAATGTTACGTTGATTACGGCGCGTTACCTTCCCCTGCGAAACCCATCTCGTTATCCATCATCAGTGATCTATGCCGACGGTCTCTCAGTGGTGGGAATACTTCCGGAAGGGCACGCAGCACTACAAGAATGACACCGTCCACTGGGATGCATGGTGCAATTCGTGCCTCAAGCACCGTACAAATGAAATTGTACAGTTTCAGAGGGTGACTAGTCAAAGCTCGGGATCTGCGGGAGTAGTGATGAGCTATGAAGATGCCGAGGCATGCGGTATGTCTCTGTAATCTCTTTAAAACAAACTCTGCTGATACTCTATCATATATGGACAGTCATGGCCGACAAGACAGCTTCATTTTA